CACTAAAAATGAGTGAAAATGGGAGGTGTCCTTCATGTTACCTGGAAAGGCACATGAGTTGGGTTTTTGGTTCTGTCCTTCGGGCTGAGGGAAAGCTGGCACAGGCAGCACACTTATTCCTATGATGACACAGTAACACAGTGCCATCCCTTACCAAGATCTGTAGATGCAATTATTGGGATAAGGTTTTTGAGAGAATGATGTCTCCTTGCAGTCATGATCTGAATGGCCCTTCAGCGTGTGCTTCTGGTGTGCCTTTGCACTTCAGCATCTGCTTTAGCAGGCTGTAGTTAGTGAATGCTTAGGGAGTCTGGTGCCAGATGTTCATTCCCTAAACCATGAGTTGTAATAACATGTTTCTGCTTCACTGCAGTCACAAAGCAGGACCTCTGTGTGCACAGCCTGGTGGACTCCTTCCAGACCTGGGGTTAAAGCTCTGCCTGAGCTGCTTCCTGTCGTTATCCTGTCCCTTTTGGTAACCACCACCCTTAACAAATCCTCTCCCACCCCTTGCTCCCTGTTACTTGGGATGGATGGTCAGAAACCAAAGATGTGCATTCCTGTATTGTTTCATGGGGGATGAGGTAGTGTTTCTGGTCAGAGAAATCCTACTCATGCTCCTCCGCTCCATCAGAGGCACAGGGAATAGTGAGCAATTAATCTGAAACTCTGTGCAGTAAAACACAAATCTCCATAGCTTGAGAAATTCTGGATGAAAGCCAGAAAAGTTTAACAAGGAAATGTGTTCCCTACAGCATAATTGTGCGTTTGGCTTCTATTTTAATAAATGAGCAACAGCTGAATGGAGGCCAAAAGGAGAGTCCCCACATCCTGAGGTATGTTCGATGCAGAGTCTGAGCCATACATGCTTCAGGTACTGCAGTGAGACAGCACAAAATACTGATGATTAAACATCAGTTAGACAGCTACATCAAAGGTGAATAGCAATCATGAGTGTGTGGATAATACCAGTGTGAAGGATTTCCTTTTTTTTTAATGTTTAAATTTTCTTTTGAATTCCCTCAAGACGGGAAGAGAAAGAAGAAAGCCAGGCACTGCGATAGAGCCTTAGGGGAGCTGGAGGCCTGGGGTGATAAATCAGCAGCATTTCAGTGAGATTAAGGGGGAACGTAGCATAATATATGAGGCACTATGGAAAGAGGCATTTTATTACAACCAGTCTGGAAGGATTCAGTTCCAGATGGTTAAAGAGGGGTTAGGTCAGGAACCTCCATCAGATGGGGCTCGCCGTCCAACAACGTGCAGCATAGCAGGAGCAGGGGAAGGTTTCCTCTGCATCAACAAAAACATCTTGAGAGGGGAGAACTGTCTCCATGGCTGGATAAAACAACTTGCATTAGTAGGGAATGTCGTCTTTGTGAGTGCAGATGGTGATGAGTGGGGCCACTTTGGCATTTCATAAGATGTGTCCTGTTTTTGTAGAACATTTCTCAGAAGATTTTGACAGAATCACGTTGGATCGATGTTGGATTGTCATCTGAAAGCAGATGGAGGATAATGGAGGATGACAGGGCTGTTGTCCTAGCACTGATGGGGACGTTGGCCTTGACTAACTGCCCTCCCATAGCAGCTCCTGGGCAGTGTGGCAGTCATAGAATAGAATCACAGACTCGTTAAGGTTTGAGGAGACCACTGAGATCATCTAGTCCAACCATCAACCCATCACCACCACATCCACCAAACCATGTCCCTCAGTACCAATCAGCACCTCTAAACCTGATGGGGACCTGTTTCCCCAGGGAACAGCCTGCAGCTTGCTTCTGGCTAATCACAGAGTAGTAGTAGGAAGGAAGAACTTTTATAGCTCCCAGCTAGGGCAAGAGGTAAAGCAAAGACTTGGTTAATGGAGAAATTTCTCCTGCAAGAGCTAGGACTAGCACCATGTCAAAGACAGAACAGAACTCAGACCACAGCACTGATGAAGCACAACAAATCATCAGGAAGGGCAGGAATGTTGCTGTATTTCAGCATTATCGTTATTTTTTTAAATTTTGAATGGTTGAAAGGAATTCTCATTTTGGGAAAAATTGGCCATACTTTGCTACAGCATTAGGCTTTTCTGTTGGATCTCTTCTACCAGATAGAAAAGTTTAGATTTATTTTTGTTTGTGTTCCGTCTTACACAGCTAAGAAAACAATTTCAAATAGGACAAACTGTCTTGTTCCAGGGAGGAGGTCTGATTTGGAGAGTGAAAACAGCTTGCTACTTGGAGTGCAGACTGCAAAAGAACAAAGCTCTAAGGACTGTTCCCTACACTGTGCCCCACAAGAGAGGTTATTGAGCCAAGACGCTGGCCTCACAGAGCATCCTGCTATGCTCAACAGTTTCCTTGTGAAATCCTTTTTATCTGTGCACCAGAGCCTGGTTTTCTGGGTGCTGGCCCTTTGGGAAGGATGGGCAGGGAGGCAAGTGCTTGGGGTATTTACTTCTCCTGTTTGCGAGGGGTATTGTGTTAGTTCTTTTCACAGGGATGCTTGTACATCCTTCTGATAGATTTTAATAGCCACTGCTGTGGAAGAAGAGTAGAGTCTATTTTAGTCAGGTGCACGTCAGTCACGTATTTATGTTTTGCATATGTCATAGGTGACATGAAAGGAAGAAATCCTCATGAGCCAATGTTCCTGCGTGACTTTCATGGGAAATGAGTTCTGGCTGCACGGAAGCGTGTTTCTTGTGGCAGCTGAATGAAGAGTTACACTCAGATGCTCAGAAAAGTGGGATGACATCATGTAATCTGTACATCTTGTGAAGATAAATCAATGCTGCTATTTATTAAAATATATGCACTTGCAATGGCTTCTTTGGCAGACTGGCTGTAATAAATAATCTTAAACTAAGTGCAGGTCAGAAATTTTGGTAGGAAGGAGCTCTGTAACAACATGAATGTTGCTGCTTGAAAACCAGGCTCAGTTGGAACAGTTTCTAGCAAAAGAGTGGAAGTGTGGGTTCAACATTTTTAGGTTCTCAATTAAAAGATGATCATCACATCAGCAACGTGTCAGACTCATTAGTCTGGCTCATCAGTTTTCCAGAAATCGTCACTCTTGTCCAAAGGACAGCAGGAAGCCCCTAAATAATGTGACAGAGGTGGTAAGTGTGACCCAGGCCAAAAACCATTTTCCTGTCATAGCTTAACAAAATATTTTCATTAAGAAAGGAACACGAGGGCATTCCACTCTTCTCATAGATAACTCTCAAGACTAAATTTGTGAAGTAGGAAGAGGAGACATTGGAAATGATCCTTATGCTTACACCTATAGCAATCACCCCGCATTTATTATTACAGCTCAGGCTGCAAGAATGAGCTGATTTATTAACTACTGTCCCTTTGGATTTCTTATCCAGGGTGGTAAAACAGCTGTAGAAAGCTGAAAAGAAGTCTAGGCGCACATCTTGTCTTTTCAGCCAGTTTCTTGTGTTCATTATGGTCTATAAACAAATATCTCTCAGGTCTCCTAAATAGATTTTCTGATCGTGTTCCCAGAACAGACCACCACCAGCCTCATTAAAGCTTATTTATGCTACTTTCATGCATGAATAAAAAAACTCCCATTCACTGCTGATTTTATTTAGTTGGATCCTGTGCCTTGTGGCAGACACTGAATCAGAGTGACATTTATTGGCTCAAAAAAAAAAGCAGAAACAGTGGGACTGCAGCGAACAGTTTGACACCTCCGTCGTTCGCGATGTGAAAAGGAAGGGGTTAACCTGTTCTTGGCTGTATTGTATTGATTGAGGCCCACGCAAAGAAAATACAGCTGTAAACAGTTAGGAGTGTTCCCTGGTAGGGGCTTTTTTTTTGGAAAGTCATTGAACTGGGACTTTGGAGGTATGAACTGTTGTTTCCCAGGGATGCCACCCGCTTCCTGCATGATAGGAGAGGAGGGAGGTCACTGCTTGCTCCAGGTCCCAGCTGGGGATGGTGCTTTCTCTCTCTAATTTTTCTAACTTGCTTGTTTGTGTGGATGGCTTTCCAGAAGAGTGACATCTCTCTGTGTGCTCATGGCGATGGGTTCTTCTTTTGGCTGGGGCCTCTAGACATCACTACAGATAGCAAACACGGCTTCCCCCTTACGTTGATCTCCTTCATCTCCATCCATGCTGCAGTGTCTGCAAGGTAAGATTAATGGCTTGGAAAGAGAAAAATCGATAAAAACAAAGAACAACGGAGTAAACTTGCAGCAGGTGGGAAGCTGTGAGATGGCTCTGTTTTCCTCCGGTCCCACTGGCTGCTGATTTCCAGCAAAGGTATTTTGAGAAGGATGTGAGCCTGTAGTTTAAGTCACAGGGTGAACAAAAAGCAGCTTTGTGCGTTTACTTTGGGCTAAGCACATTGTGAATATTCTTAAGCATCGCAACCAGGATTAACATCCCTGCATGTTAATGTGCCTGGAATTCAGCGAGAAGCAGAGCAGGAGAGCGGGTTCCCTGGGCGCACTGCTAGGTGTCTCTTTGAACCGCAGTTAAACAGCTTTCTATTACTCTTGCTTGCTTCCCCACTTCTCCTTTTCTTTTTCATTTTTTTTTTTTTTCTTCAACAGCTTCTGGAAGAAGTCCTGATAGATTTCACCTTTCTGAAATTTACCGTGCTGTTCTGTTTCCAAATAACCCCACATGGCAATAGTATGTATATACAGAAAAACACCATGTGGACAGAAGTAGAGAGTTTGTTATTTACAGTGGATCATTAACCTGGTGTGCAAATTTGACTTGATCTCTCCTTTTTTTATGCTCCCCCCTCTCTGTGGAATTTCAGAGCCCGTGAGGAGCTGCTGCCTTTTGCCGCCCCGGGATCCCAGCAAGGAATGGGAATCTGATGGATTGCAAATGCGCCCGCTTGGTTTAACCCCCAGCCAACCAGATAAGTGCCCTTTTAATTTTCTCACAGCCGTGCTTTAGCCATATCTGTGCACAAAACATCTCTCTTCACACTGATTTCAATTCACCCTCACAAACGAACGCTCTGTGCTTCTCTCTTCTGCTCAGAAATCCCAACAGCAGACAGCTGTGTTTGATGCATGCTATTAATTGCCAGGAGATGCTGCAACCCGGGGCTCGGGGAACTGCGGGTCGGTGCCAGCCCGCCAGCCCCAGCCTCGGGCAGCCCCATGATGTTGTGGGCAGCAGCTCCGTGGTGCCGCTGCCGAGACCCATCAGCCCGTGCAGTCCTCTGGGGCTCATTAGGGGCTTAATAACCAGACTTGGCTGACTTGATAGGAAAGATGTTTGTGTAGGCTTGGCGCGATCTCAGAGAAAGCAGCTAACGCCACTGGAAGGAGAGGGCTTTGTGCATGTGCTGTTCATCTGTGTGATAGGGGAGAAGTGATAGCTCTCACTTCTTCCAGCAGGGAGATGTGCAAGGATGTGGGGCAGAAGCCCTCAGTTGCACTGGGATTGCATGGGGCATGCAGAGTGGTGTCGTTGGTGAGCAGCAGCAGGAAAAGTCCCCTCAGAACTGCGGGGACAGAGAATGCATTCTGTCAGGAAAATGACTTTGGGTTTCTGCAGGTGACTGCTGCCTGCTCACAAACATACTGATACAATTATTAAATAAGTTAAGAAAACGAGAAGATGTGGTTCTTTTGTAAAGTCTCTCTTTGCAATAGCATGCAGTCATGAGGCTGGGAGAAATGTTTGCTGTACCTGTGACTGACAGTGTTAGAATGAAAAAACACGGAGACAGAGCAGGCGAGTGTAGAGGGGCTGTGTGGCAGGCAGGAGAAAGGGACCCAAATCACACCACGTCTGTCTTGTCTGCTCTAGCAGGGTTGATTACTAATAAAACACCCCTCTTGTTGTTGGGGTAACTACAAACTTGCTTGCTATAGCAAACTAGGCTGTGCTACTTGATGTGAATTTGCCTTACCTACCTAAGTGGTTAGAGAATTTCCTGGTGAAGATATCAGCCCAGAACAGAGGGAAAATGGAGAACAATTCCCTGCCACAAACTGACCCCGAGCACAGCCTGTGGACTCCATGTCCTGTCACTGACAGCCTGGAAATGAGGCTCATAACACTGCTGTCCTGGCAGCCAAGGGCCATGAGTCGTGGGGGGGACATGGGCTGGAGGGATGGAGTGGGAGTTCATTGCAGCACAAGAGCTGGATCAAAGTCAGCCTACTTGATCCCTGGAGTGTGTGCAGTTCTCTCTTTTCTTGGAAAAGCTTCTTGTTCGAGCTGTTGTTGCCCAGAAAGGTTTTCATATTAATAGTACCAGAAGCATCTCTGGTATCAGTGACTGTCTGCCCTCTATCTTGCAATTGATAGCAGTAGTTATCCTTGGCTCTTCAGTGATCTGATAATGAAAGGGCTTGACATTATACTAAGAAACACTGATGAAACAAAGGCTTTGTGGTAAAGCTGCAGTCAGGGCTTTTTCATTCATCAAAGATGAATAGGAAATTGAAACACATCATTTGTGTACTTCAATTAACAGGGCTGTTTGCTCCTCTGAAAAAAGAATAATATAAAAAAATAACATAAGTGATTTCCAAGGTCTCGATTGCTAAGTTTGCAACTTGAAATATCCTTTCTGCCACTGTGCCAATATCGATGTTCACCCAAATTAGGCCCCATTAAATCAACCTGCAGTTTGTTTGCTGGGTGGATCTTGAGGTAGAGGAGGACTCCACAGATCTTGACAAATTGCTACAAAAAATCTTGTCCTGAACAGAAGAACCCCAGATCCCTCACTTTCCTTGTCTTACAGGTGAACCTTGAAGAAGGCTGAGGCGCTCCGTATCTCCTAAATGCATGCCCTTCCCCTGGGGATAGAAGAGCAGCCATGGGGAAAGACAAGAAAAAAGAGGAGGCTGTCTTTCTGAGGAAAAAGATAACTTTGCTGAGGGCTTTCTCGCTTCTCATCGGCAGCATGGTTGGCAGCGGCATCTTCATCTCCCCCAAAGGAGTGCTGAAAAACTCAGGCACTGTGGGGTTCTCCCTGATGGTGTGGTTTGCCTGTGGGCTCCTCTCCATGTTCGGTGAGTGGGAAGTTGGTTTGGCCTTTGCTTGAGCACCCAGCAGATGAGGGGAGCCAGCAAAATTGGAAGCGTAAGAAGTTGGGAGTGAAATAGAGCAAGATTTCCCCGTTCTGAGTGCCACAGAAGTAAAGGCTTGATAAGGCTGGGGGTCACCAGCACCTCTGTTGGGGCAGGCAAATTCTGTTTGAAATGTTTTGGGTGAGTCTGGTGCTACTTCAGAGCCAGGGGATGGAACAGATATCAGTGCTCTCTGTTTGCTCTGCTGTTGGCTTTTAATACCAGTCTTGTCTCACGAAAGGTTGACTTTTTGATGACATGTTAATTTCAGCTCCTCTGAAATAATGTAACTCTTACAGTTACCATGCAAAAAAAAGCCATGGATTTTAGTTTTCTTCATTCACTGTATACAAGCAGCTTCTCCAACCCTCCAACAGTGCTGCTGGGAGAAGTGCAAGGTCTCACAGCTGTGGGGAGAAAGCTGGTATTTATTTCAGTGGGTAACTTTAAAGTTCTTCCTCTTTCACCACTTGAAAAGACAAAAACAAAAGAAGAAAGGAAAAATACTCCATGTGGACAAAACACCCTGGAATGAGACATTTCTAAATGTGGCATTTAGAAACTGAGACATTCAATTCTTTACCTGGGAGTGATTGTGGTTCTTTCTCTTTGCTATGCCCTCCAAGTATTTCAAGTTCCATGTGCTGCTGAGCATAGGCTGCTTTTACTACACATGTGGGATACAGCTTGTGCATAGTTGATTGGGGAAAGATCTATTTTTGCCTGAAGAAAAATCACAGATGCTCTTTTAACTGAGCTGAGCAAAAAGAGATCAGGTGTGTGCTGGTCATGTAGCCCAATCCCTGTGCGGGGAGGCATTACTTGGTCTCCTCTTGTGGCCTGGCTGCCTCTTTGTCAAATTGCTGCTAAATTTTATAGCTAAATTTGTTGTTTTGTTCTTCTAGCCCAACTTCAGCAAAACACTTAAACACAAGCTTGGACCCGCTGGGTTAAATGTGAGGGGTCTGTCTACACTCAAGACTTTGGGCAGGGATTTGGCACAAATTCACAGAGAGGCAGAAAAGTCAGCGTCTTTGCCATTGGCGTGACCATGAATGATCTCTGTAGGAGAGGGGGGGCACAGCTGTACCACACTGGGGCTCCTGCAGGGCTGCCCGAGCTGGGACAAGCAGATGGGGTATCTCATCCTGTGGGTCATACCCCAATAGCACTCAGCCCCTTCGCATGGGCATCGTGCTCAAAGGCGTGAAGCATTTATGATTTCTTGTAAAACATCCCCTGTCCACCATATAGCATAGGAGAGAGGGGACAACTCAAGCTTCCCGGGGTCAAAAGGAGTCTCTTGTAGTTTAGTGCAGTGGTTTTTTCTCCTACCTTTCCACATGACTTCCCTGGAAAGTTGTATCATTAAACAAATTAGCAGAAAATTTCCTTCCTCCTGACAGAAGAGTGAACTGACTTCTAAACATCATAATACATAAAAATGTGGAAAGGAATGGTTCTGCTAAAAACTGTTTTTCTTCCTCTGCTTCACTGCTTATTTTAAGCAGATTCCTTCAGGTCCTGAAAGGCACAGAGAAAAGAGGAAATCCAAAGGATGATTTACTAAGCTCATTTATACTCTAACTTTGCCAGGTGCCTTGTGTTATGCAGAGCTTGGAACAAGGATCACCAAGTCTGGAGGACATTACATCTATATTTTGGAAACCCTGGGGCCTCTGCCAAGTTTCTTGTTTCTGTGGGCAGAGTTTTTTGCTATCAGGTAAGAGATTTTGTTTGTTTGATTTTTGCTGGGTGCTCTGCAGTTTGCTGCTGTGGTTTTTTTTGGTTTAGTGTTCAGTTATGGTGCCAGGTAACAGTCTAAGTAGTTTGTAAAGGAAATTGGAAAAAAAAAATCCAACCAACTGGATAACTTTAAAGACTGTCAGTGATAAAAGGAAGAAGACAGAACGAGCAAATAGTTGCATGTGTTCATTGTGATCTGTGCTTGAGGAATCTCTTTCTTCTCCCTTGGCAGCTGGTATCCTTCAAGAGCTGTGGTGTTTTTTGGCCACTGAGAGCAAATGACAAGTTAGGTTCTGATTTTCTGCTTCCATTGTGAATCTTCGCACATTCTTCTGTGGAAAAAAAAAAAAAGCCTTCTGGCTTAGTCCCAAGTTAAATACCAAGTTAGAAATGTTTAAATTGCCTTTTTTTTTTTCACCTGAAAAAGCTAATCCTCCTCTCCCAAAGGCCTGTCCTCCATGTGCGCTGAGATGAAGCAGGACACATGAACCATGCAGCACTGCCGTGTGTGATTAATCTCAACTTTTGTTTTTGAGTTAAGAATTAATCTTCATGCATCTGTGCCTCTTAACCTATTTACTGAGAAAACCTGTGAAAAAGATGACAGGATCTGCGTGGTAGGGTGGGTTTAAGCACTGTGAGGAAGCTCCCTCTGTCCCGCCATGTTGAGCCCATCCACAGAGCCAAGTGTGACTCTGCCTGGTTCCCCTCCCCAGGCCCGCCAACAGTGCTGTGGTCTCTCTGGCATTTGGTCGCTACCTGCTAGAACCATTTTTTGCCCCCTGTGCAGCACCCGTCCCTGCTGTGAAGCTCGTCTCTCTCCTGGGCTACTGTAAGTATAACCCTCCATGCCACATCTTGGGGCCTCTCTGCCTCAGCTTTCCTATGGGGTGTTATCTTCTGGGATTGGGGCCCAAGAGCCCAAGACCTGAAGGCATTCTCTCTGCTTCTCTTGCTCCGACCACCCTCTTTGGGAGGATGCACTTTTGTCCCCACTGCCCTCAGAAATTTCTTCCTGCATGTGCCAAGCACGGGCTGCAGCATGGTCTCCTCTCCAGACGCAGTCCTCACCCTCAATTCCTGGAGCGTCACCTGGAGCGCACGGCTGCAGACGGCCCTGTCCATTGTCAAGCTGCTGGCCCTCATGCTCATCATCGTGCCGGGGATGATGCTGCTGGCCCAGGGTAGGTGGTGTCTGGATGTACACAGCTCAGGGCTGAGTGTGGGATAGTTGGCTTCAAGCTGTGTCACTTCTGTGGGGCTGGTGTTCCCAGCTCACCTTTTTCTGCAGGTTTTTCACAGAATCACAGAATGGCCAGGGTTGGAAGGGACCTCAAGGATCATGAATCTCCAACCCCCCTGACACATGCAGGGCCACCAACCTCCCCATTTAATACTAGACCATGTTGCCCAGGGCACCATCCAATCCGGCCTTAAACACCTCTAGGGATGGGGCATCTGGGCAGCCTGTTCCAGCACCTCACCACTCTCTCTGTAAAGAACTTCCCCCTGACATCCAACCTAAATCTTCCCTCCTTCAACTTAAAATCATTTCCCCTTGTCCTGCTGTTATCTACCCTTGCAAAGAGAGTATTCCCCTCCTGTTTATGGGCTCCCTTTAGGTGCTGAAAGGTGCAATGAGTTACCCCACAGCCTTCTTTTCTCCAGGCTGAACAAGCCCAGCTCTGTCAGCCTGTCTTCATAGGGAGGATGCTCCAGCTGTCTGATCATTTTTGTGTCCCTCCTCTGGACCCTCTCCAACAACTCTCTGTCTTTCTTGTACTGTGGGCTCCAGACTTGGATGCAGTACTCCAGTACTTTTTGGGAATGGGGCTGTATGAGCCCACTTGGGCTGACAGAAGCACACTCCTCTGCTGACCTTCCTTTGGGGTACCCACTTTCAGCATGTCTCAAAACCCTTCCAAAGCAGTACAGATGCCATAGACATGGGGAATGTGTGACAGCATCCCCTGGTGTCCTGAGCCTGTCACAGCCCTGTAAGGAGTTACCAGCCCCCAGCAGAGCCCTGGTAACTGCATCTCTACCCTTCCTGTAGCTTCAGCTGATGCTTTTTACCTCCTAATGGAAATAGGCAGTAATGTAGTAAACTTACAATGGACTCATGCACGATTGCGTGCTCATATCCAGAGGAAAAGAAAACATAAGATAAAACCTCCCAATGATATCTTCTGGGATTGATACAAGAGTACTGGCTTTAATCCAAACCTCAGTTTATAGAAAAGCCCATGGCATTCACACTCAGGGGATAAAGCCAGCTCTGTCTTCACACTATTTCCTTTCTCTGCAGAGGAAACAACAAAGGCAGGAGGATCAACATTCATGTTTCTTTCTGATGTCTGGTGCTGGCTCCTTTGAATGCGGAAAAACCCCCTTGGGCAGGCAGCACTTTTGAACTGAAGGCCTGCCCTGCAGCTAGAAATCCAGAGCCATTATTGTTAGGGATGCCTTCAAATGGCAATCTGGAGCCCTGGCACAGTCTTCTAGTGAGGAGGATAAGTGCCGGTGACATCTGGAGAGAGAATCCACTGAGAGACCCTGGGATGACAGGTTGTGTTTAATGTGACTCATGGGGGACTCTAAATCACTCATAAATATATTGCAGACAATAAATCCTTTTTATGTGCCATCAGTTATAAGCAGTCACTTTAGTGTATAAAAAGACTACCCCAATAGGCCCATTCCATTTTCTACATTCGTTTTCTTCAAATCCATATTATTTTTTTTTTAACTTCATTTTTGTTCTTGCTTTTAAATGAGTCTGCCTTGCTCCTCAGCCTCTTCTTGCTCTCTATGCTTACATTTTTGTTCTTCCCCCTGCCATTACCTTCCCCTTTGACTTTGATTTGTTTCAGAGCCTTGCTGGACCAGTGCTCCACACCCCATGCTCAACTGAGGTTCCTCACTGGGAGGAACAACCACACAAACTCTGTGCTTCTTTCTTTTAAAGACATTTTGAAGTGGAAAACCGAACGTAGACGTGGAACCCAAACTTAGGGCCACTTGGATTTGAAAATGTTGGAAATACAACTCCTTTTGGCTGTGCTCTTGCTGCTCTTCCTTCAGATAAGAGGCTGCTCCATGCTCCTGCCTCTCCTTATTTTTCTGAGGTCTGATAAAATCTGCCCCATAACCAAAATCCTGACTTTGATCTGTACATTTTTTTTCTTTTCTGAAGAAGAATGGCTTTGTAAAACTAACCATTCTTCTTCCACTTCTTGGTGCTGGCCCAGATTTATTTCAAGCAGAGCACTTTTAGGAAAACTGGAGGAGCTGGTAAAATGCACTTTGATCCAATCACCTCTACTTTTTATTACTGCATTTGTTTTGCCCCCTGTGTCCCCACTTCCCCTCCTGTGGGGCCATTCCCACGCCAGTAGCCCCTCTACTTGTTTCCCATGCTCCGCGCAGCGTGGGGCCAGAGGAACTGCATTAGCTGCCTTGCTGGCTGCACAACATCAAACAGAGCCAGCATCCGGCCGTCAGTGGATGGGGAGAGAGGTCAGCCCAGGGAATCAGAGCTGGGCTGTAAGAAAGGCCAGAAGAACTCAAGTCTTCTCTTCTCCATGAGCTCCCATTTCCAGACAGTGCCTTTCCTGACACATCTCTTGTAGCTGAACAGGAGAGAATAGTTTTCTCCCGTCCCTGTCTACGCCAACACAGCACTGCAAATTAGAACAATGCAACAAATCTGAATACCTGACCCCCATGATGTCACACACACTTCTCCCAGGTTTGGGCAGGTGATACGCAGTCCGCAGGACGGATGTCCATATCTGACTCATCTGTTGTTTTTTCTCCTCTGTAGGCCACACCAAAAACTTCCAGGATGCTTTTGATAGGCAGTCGCTGGTTCCAGATAAGCTGCCCTTGGCTTTTTATGCAGGCATGTTCGCGTATTCAGGCTGGTAGGTGTGATGGGAGGGCAACTCACTGACGGTGCATCACTGTCCGAGAGCTGCTTCAAAGCCTCTCCTTGTGTCTGCACAGGTTCCAGACCAGCTTTGTGCGTGAGGAGTTGGTCAGACCCGAACGGTAAGGCTGGAGAAGTAGATGGCTTTTGTGCCTCAGTCCTGGGCTACCACTGCGTCCCTAAACACCAGCAAACAAAACAGGAGGAAATAAGTCTGTGGGTTCACCAAACCAACAGCAGCTGCAGTCTGCAGTAACATGATGAGAAATGAAGAGATAACAGCTTGTTCACTGCGTGTCTCTCTTTCCCTTTCTTACAGAAACATCCCCCTGGCTGTCATCGTGTCTGTGATCACCGTCATTGTGGGGTATATGCTCACCAACATCTCCTATTACACTGCCCTGGGAACACAAGATGTTCTGGCTTCTCCAGCTGTCGCTGTGGTGAGTTGTCACCCTACTGATAGCTGTCTTTAGTGTGGTTGGTTTATACTGAAGGGGGTGGTCTTGACAAGGATCTAGGAGATAGTTTTCCTCATAAAAGTCTTTTGTTTTTCTTTGTTGTTTCTCTGGATTATTGGAAAATACTACATTCTAGTCTTTCCTAAAAGATAATGAAAAAGAACCTGCAGATAAAGGGCTGGAGGGCTGGAACACCTCTCAGGAAACATTGAAGGAGCTGGGATTGTTCAGCCTGGATAAGAGAAAGCTGCAGGAGACCTCACTGAGGCCTTCCAGTACTTGAAAGGAGCTTATAAGCAGGAAGGAAGCTGACTTCTTACATAGCCTAATAGGGATAGGACAAGGGAGAATAGCTTTAAACAAAAAGAGAGGGGATTTAGGTTAGATGTTAGGAAGAAATTTTTTACTCAGAGGGCGGTGAGGCTCTGTTACAGCTGCCCAGAGAAGCTGTGATGCCCATCCCTGGAGGCACTCAAAGCCAGGTTGGATGGGGCCTTGGGCAGCCTGAGCTGCTGGGTGGCAGCCCTGTCCATGACAGGGAGCTGGGGATGGATAGGCTTTAAGGTCCCTTCCAATCTAAGCTATTCTATGAAGAGATTGCAGTAGAAAAGGCAAGATTTTGAGTTGTATTTTACTCCTTCATTGGAGGAAGTTTTTTCTTCTTGAATCTGATCTTACCTAGAGATCACTACATGCTCCTGCAGTCATGATTGCTCTTCTTCCAGAGTTTTGTGCAGCAAGCCTGCACAAACCTTATCTCAGTGGTCCCTGTCCTCGTTGCACTGTCCTGCTTTGGCACCATGAATGGAGGAATCCTCACATTTTCAAGGTCAGATCCCGCAAAATGTATTGCATTTTGGCTTAATGTTTTGGAGGGAAGCACCAATAACCTGTGTACGTGACAATCATTTGGATGGCATTTTGTGAGAAAACCAAGACCTCTGACTCCCAGTACATAAGCTGCAGGACACTGCTCGCTGTCTAGAGGTGTCTTCCTTCCTTTCCTGGCCAGGTATACACTCTGGCTGGCCAGAAAACCAAGATTTTTACCTGCCACCACACTTTATACTCCAACTTGAAGTAAAATATCAACGTTTCTGGTGAACTACAAGCTTTGTTGACATGGCAGCTGCTCAGTCAAGCAGAGTCATTGTCTGCTGGCTTTATCCAGTGCCTTTGCTGCAGGGCATGAGTCTCTGTGTTATGAGGACCTCTGGCTAAAACAAGCGCTCCCTGGAGAACTTTGCTTTGAGTTTGGTGAAACATTATCAGGGCCAGGTCATTCCCAAAGCAATAGCTGAGGCTCAACAAGCCTTGTTGGAACAATAATAAGAACTTTGTTCCATGGAAAAGTTATCTTGCCAACTCCACTGGCGACTATACTATGTCCTTGGGGGAGCCTTGAAATTGGAGAGGAGGGCAGAGCACATGGAAAAGTGCGTCCTCCTGGTCCTGAGGAGCTGAGCAAACTCTCTGGAGCCAGCTCCATTTCACAGCTTTGATTGCAAAAGGAAAGATCATTTGATATGAAGGGGATGTTTCAAAGCACAAGAGCTAATGAGTTATTTGATCTGCTACCCTCAAGTCCTGTATTAAACGTGGTGAGGAGAATCCCCCCGCTTAACGTCCCTAGCTAGTGATTTTCTTTGAGGATGGGAAGTCCCTGGAGAGCACAGAGGTTCTACGTGTTTCTGTCATCCTTCTCTCCCCCTTCCTGGCATCATTAACATAATCACTGCAGAAGGGCCATATAAACAGTGATGGGGCCTCCCTGGCTGATGGCCAGCCACACCCCAGCAAAACCACAGAGACAGCAATAAAACCAGTTATACGCTCATGCCCCAGCTGCTTCGGGCTCTGTTCCAGCCCAGCTGATGCTCTGGCATGGTATGTTTGTGGATATTAAGTTTATAAAATGCAATGCTTTCTCCTTAATTACCCTTTCACAATTCAGAGGAGGAATGGAGGCAAGGAGCTCTCTGCTGTTGTTTTGTAGCTGGCCCTGTTTGTAGCTGTCATCTCTGTAATATACAAAACTACTTTCTAACAACTGGCAAGAGACTTCCTCTGCTCTTTGAGGAACTTGCGCTTTATTTATTTCTCTCTCTTGTTTATGTATATCTCTATGTGGTTTATATTTATAGACAGAGACATATATGTTATTCCTGGTATGTAGCTGCTGCTGTGGCACAGCCAAGCAAGCTTTCCTTGATCTTAAGCCTAGTATCCTTTAGGGATGAGCAACCCCTCTTCATGAACTCGCCAATCTTTCTTCTAAAAACTTGAGGTTTGTGGCCCCTCCACTTCCTACTGGCTTGTTTCTGCTTCCAGCCTCAACACATTCATTTTCATGCTGTGCTCAGCTAAAGATCACTACTAACTAGTTACCCACAGGGACACTACCAATGGTGGGCTTTGCATCATGCCGAGATAAATGGTCCTTGAAGAACTATGCAAATCTTTGGAGATTTTTTTCCCAAATCCACTGAAAAGTGATGCTAAATGCAGAACTGTGGCCTTACAGAGCAGACTTGTGATGATGAGATCAGTCCAGCTACTGATCTTTTCATTTCTAGTATAGATGTGGGATGCTGATGGATAGAGCTCCCTGTCTTTTCCTAGGACACTGTTTGTGGCCTCCAGGGAAGGACAGTGGCCTCCTCTCTTCTCCATGATCCACATTCGAAGACATACACCCCTTCCTGCTGTCATGCTTATGGTAAGGAGATCTGCCTATCTCACTTCTTGCAGTCTTGGCTTTCTCGTTTTACATGGCAATCTGCAGAGCCTGGAGAATCTGAGAAGTTTTAAAGGATGTTGAGACACTGTCAGCTCGCAAAAAAACAAGTTCTCTCATGTCAGTAGTAGGACTCAAATCCACTGTCTCAAAGTCTCCACCTTGTTGTCTTGAACATACTCTTTCAAAGTACTGTCCCTACCATCTGCCATAGTTTCTGCCTGATACTCTATGGGAACTTCTTGGCCAGCCTTCAGATACTTGAAAAACTGAAATTCCTAGGTTAGTGGAAATGCAGGAAATGCACATTTATGGAAAGGCTCTCAGATTTGGGTTGTTCCTCCCTTCCCTTCATCTCTTTTTTCCCAGCAATGGTCCATCATAACACTGCCTCTTGCATCTTGGTTAACCTGCTAGAAGCTTAGCAAATATTTCTATGTGAAACCTTTGTGCCTTTTGGGTCATGCATGTTTGAATTGCCCTGCATAGGACATAGAGCATCAGTGAAGCTGTTGGTCTCCATCCTTTCTGTAGCATATTAATTTTGTATTTAGAACTTTGACCAGCACTTTTTAATCTGAGAGAGTGCTTTGCAACATGTTTGGTGACCTCTGAAATGTTGGGTCTGTGAAGTAGCTATCTGTGATTGCGGGGGGCTGGGGGAGATGATCTGTATCACCCTTCCCTGTCTGAGGACCACAGCAAGGTTTAATTTCAGTATTTCATCTTCACAATGCTCAGTTCCCTTTGGTTACTGCCATGGTGTGTATCGGAGATATCTACCATCTACTGAACTTCTTCAGCTTCTCCCGATGGCTCTTCATAGGATTAGCCACTCTTGGGCTCATTGTCCATCGCTACCGTCACCCAGAGCTGCAAAGCCCATTCAAGGTAATTCACGGCTTGTATCTAACAGCCTGGAACACATGCCTGTCATTTTTCTCTCTATTTATGTACCCTTTTCCAAAGAATTAGAGCATTATGTGGCTGTGATTGCCTTCAGGCTCCAAGGGCTCTAAATCCCTATTTCTCTGTAAGGCATGTAGGAAAATCCCAAGGTTGATTGATGTGCCCAAACAACCAGATGTGGTAAATTCTATTAAAACCAGTTCTACATGGGGCCACCAGTTGCAGCTGAAGAGTGACAGCTTGCTCCAGGGGACAAGGTATCAGGCTGGGAACTGCAGAAGGCAATTCTCATGCTCTCCTCTCTGAGGCTGCAGGGGAAGGACCTTTGCCTGGATGTGATGTCAGTATCAGGTATGTCTTAGCCCTAGTGAGGAGCGGAATGTGTCATGGGGAAAAGAGCATTGCCAGATGGAACATGGGAGCAAACCTGGCTTACAGGAAATCATCTCCTGGTACAAAACTATTGTACAGTATTAAACAGCTTGAGCACAGCTCGCTGAGTCCCCTGCCACTCACAGCCTCTATGGGATATTGACTGAACTACAAGTACAGGCAGCCCAAGGGGTTTGAGTAACTACCTCATGCATGGTGCTTCCATGTGCACAGCTCCAGCACATTTGGAATGCATGAAACCCGTGGCCATAAGCAATGAAAAGCATTAGAAGTGGACAGGGGGAAGCGAGGAGCTGAGGGAGTTCAGTTTCCCACTCCCCAATGGGAAGCTGGAGGACGCCCTGTCCCCTTTCTCCATTCCTGGACCTCTTTGCTGGCCGCTGGGGTCCTGCTCGTGGGGAGTGCTCAGTCCCGAAAGCTGGCATGGCTTTTAGAGCCCCTGCTCGAGGCAACACTCCCACTGCCAGATAATCTGCAGGCGGCATTTGGCTGGGGCCATGCACAATGTGTTCCCCTCTCCAGTCACGCCTGCACGCTGCCTCCAGCCAGTTCCTGCAGAGGAGAGGAGACCTCTGAGGCCACAGGCACTGGGCAGCTGATCAGCCAGAAACTTATGGGAAAGAAGCACTTTTCACCACTCCCAGGGCTCCTCCCCAAGCTGAGAGGCCTGATGCAGGATTTGGGGTAGTTTTTCTTCTTGGTGTTTGCTGGAGACAGCATATTTAGCAGAGACCTTGAGGCTTCTGAGCTTGCTGACTGGCTGGCTCATGCAGCCACCCAGATTACCCAGATTACCCAGATCACCAGTTATCAGATTTTTAATAAGTTTGATTTTTTTTTTCTTTTAAAATAGTATTCTTGGGAGAAATGTATTACTGAATAGCGCTGGTGATGTTTTTACTTTCTGAGAATCTGTTTGAGATAGAGCTTTAGGTTTTTAATAACTCCTAAGAATGGGAGTGAGGAAGATGATGGCATTTTGGTCAGCTTGGTGGACTCTTCCTCTCTCTCCCCATTTTTTAGACCCAACTCAAACCCAAAGCATGGTTATCTGCAAGAGCAAACAACAGTGTGGATGTGATGTGTGCATGTGCTGCTCTCCAGTGGTCAGAAATATTTCTTCCTCCAACAGCAGTTTGCTTACAGAGAAGAAATAATAAGATAAATATAAGAGATTGTGCTGGTACTTTTTTTCCTGCAGAATTTTAGTTGAAAATGGTAAGAAAACACCAGCAAGGGGAGAGAGCAATCCCCTCATGCATCTCTCAGACAGCTGTGCTGTGTGAATATGTGCACGTAGGAGATGCTGGCAAAGGATGTTCAGGCTGGAAAGGCAGTGAGAGCATGCAAGTTTGGTGGCTGGACAGCTGCCATCACTAGAGCAACTGATCTCCCCCAGCTCAGGATGGTCAGCATCCAAAATATGATCTGTGTTACAAGAAAAGAGATTGTCACCCTAGGTGAGGTCAGCAGCTCCTTTACTCTATCAGATGTGGTGAGGAGTAATTTGGCTGAGGTCAGATCTAAAGAAGGAAATGTTTCACAGCTTCTTACTTCAGTTTTACCCTCCAAATAACACAGATGAATTGACTCACCCAAAAGAATGAGGCTGAAGCACTGAGTGCTGTTCTGGTCTTTCAGCAGGGTGTCACTGAAAACCGCATTCTTGGCACAGGTGCTGCAGAGCTGGGTGTCTGGTTTATCCTGTGTTGGTTGCCATAGGCCTCAGGCAGGCTGGAGGCAGGTCAAAGTGAGTCATGAGTGTTATGTCCAAAGATTGGCTTGTTTCAAAGGGATTTTGCTCTTGGCATCAGATTTTCCATCAGCAGTTGCCACAGGTGACAAGTTTAGGGGTGGGTGTATGCACATGCACACATGCTGTACATAGAGTGAGCTGCTGTGGTTGACTTCTCCCCAGCATGGTGTGTGGTTGCAAGTGAGGTGAGGCTTCTGTTTGTGCACGTGGAAGGAGGCATACACCTTGCAGGGCACTCTCGGCTCCAAGGGTGGTATGAGAACACTTTTGTTCTCTGCATCCTACTCATTCTCAACGGATTGTCCTGCGTGCAGGACAGATTTTTCTCATGGATACATGACAATAGCTTGTGCTGGCTGGTATGATCAGTTTTGCCTGTGCTCTTTTCCCTAGGTCCCCCTGTTTGTTCCAGTCTCTTTTACCATCATCTGCCTCTTCACAGTGGCAATGTCTATCTACTCGGACCCTGTAAACATTAGCATTGGATGCACCATGGTTTTAAGTGGCTTTCCAGTCTACTACCTCGTAATCCATAGGAAAATGTCAAATCGCTGCCACAGACTGCTCTGTAAGTATGCTCTTGGGTTTCAGTATTCTTGACCTAAGCACGCTTAGGGGTAGGTGGTTGCTTGGGAACATACTAATAATCCAGCCTAATCTTTCTAGAAAAGATAGAGCTGAGGACTAGATCCAAGCAGATTGGCACTATCGTATCTTCATCATATCTGTGGGATGAGTTTTTCTGTCAAATTTGGATGAAACTGAACAAAAGATCAAAAGCTGATGTGGAGAGAGTGAGGGGCAGGCACTGTAGCCTCATGCACAAACTTTTCCTGAAAGGCTGGGGGGTAGTGGTAGGAAAAGATAGTGCAGGCTGCCTGGTGGGGGGGGCATTGCTTAACGGTATAGGTTTGGGTGTAGATGTGGGTGTGGAAATGAAGTACCTTTCCTCCCCATGCAGTGCATGGCACAGGTTTACCTTAGGTGTAGCTCTGGTGGCACAAGAACAGTGATTTATTCTAAAACAAGAGCCTGGTTTTGATTTTAACTTCTAATGTCAATTATGAATCTTGAATTCTTTTGATTTGGTGTTGGGCTGAGATATATTGGTGAACAGAAAAAAGCATACAGCAAAAAAAAAAAAAAAGAAAACAGATTCAGTCATCTGCTAACATAAAATGCTTTATCCATCCTGTGCCAGTGTTCTTCTGATTTTTATCCATAGTGTAGGATATTGTCCAGATTAAACTTTTTTTTTTTTTTTCCCCATTCAGATTACCTTACACACAAATTGCAGCTACTGTTGGAAGTAGTCCAACAAGAAATCAAGACATACTGAGGAAACCATCAGAACTTACAGGAAAAGATATAATCTACTTGCTACACACCTGATGCCTTTGATCCTTCCAAACACAAGCCATGCTCTTATTCATTTAATCACTGCAAATGAGGATGAGCCTGAGCCAAAACTTTGCTGCAAGTAGCCCTAAGCTTGCCATTTGGGATCTGATGAGCAAGTCACAGCTGCTTCTGCCCTTTTCTTTTTTAGCAGAACAATCTACTTCTCTGAAATAAGCTTTCTTTGCTTTGAGTGTCTTCGAAACAAAGATTCAGATTCTGCAGTCTAGCCCAATCCTCAGCAAATTATATATTATTTTTTAATTTTCTAACTTGGCAAATAGAGAGCCTACAGCAGAACTAGAATCTAGCTACATGGAAGTTAAGCGCAGGATTTAAATTGAAGTCTAGGTCAGGCTGAACAGGGCTCTGAGCAATCTGATCTCACTGTAGGTGTCCCTGTTCACTGCAGGGGCATTGGACTAGATGACCTTTAAGGGTCCCTTCCAACACAAACCATTCTATGGTTCTATGATTCTATGAAATCTGTAGCAGCCATGTGGAATGATGCTGTGGGGAAAGATTATAGAGGGAAATGGGCAAGGAGTGCAAACCAGAGATGAAGTACATGCGGATGAAAACAGGAGGTGGGGGGGATAAAACTTCACTCACCAGGAAGCAAAGATTTGGGTTAATGGGAAGATATTTGAAAATCATTTGAAATTCAAATCATGAGCTAAGAAAACTCAGAATGTTTTATTTATTATTTTATAAGCAAAATAACTCTATTTTGCTTCAAAATAATGCTTCAATTTTGAATTTTATTGCTTTGAAATGGTATTTCAAAATGTACTGACACAGTAAAAATATATATATTAAAACAAATAGCTAAATGCCCCAAAGCAGAGTTCAGAATAGGCTCCGATTCTTTCCCCAGGCCCCCACCACACCTGGTACCACCAGTGAAGTTGGAAATTCAGCTTTTGTCCCAACAGCAGTGAAATGTGATTCTCCTTTTGTTAGACAAGAGCAGTAATGAGTCGTGGGCAGATTCCTTATGAAGTGTACCTTTTGGTGCTGTAGGAAGACATCAGGTTTGAGCTTTAACTTCAAATCTACAGTCAAAAGACTTCTTGAATCGATACAGAAATGCTCATTTGAACTACTGGCATCAGAAAGGTTTCTGTGGTTGGATTACTTCAGTTTACATCACAAATGTTGTGAAGTTAAAAAAGATAAAAGAACAATTAGCTATTTCCAATCACTTAAGTGTTAATCTTTTCCTAAAAGATTGGAAGCAGCATCCTGAGCCTAGTCTGATGGCCCTGGAGAGAGGAAGAGCAGAATGTGAAGCATTTGTAATCTGCCAAGCATTCATGCGCTTAGAGTAATGCCAAAGTAGCATTTATTTACCGAAACATGTAAAATGCACAGTCAAGGATGAGAAATAAATAAAGGCTTTGGTTTTTTTCTTCCTTTTCTTCTTTTTCTTCTTCTCCCTCTTCTTTTTCCTCTTTTTTTTTTCCATTTAAAAAAAAACCTTTTTGTTTTTCTTTTCTTCCCCCCCTTTTTTTATTTTCCTCCAAAGCAACTTAGAATTGCTTTTCTTGTTGAGACCATTTCCTGTTATTCTGTGAAACGGAGCTGAGAGAGGAACACCATGGTTACAGGGCTCATCCTCCCCCTCTGTCAAGTTAATGTACAACAGGAATTACTGGGGAAACCATCACAACTAGGGAAGAAGGTGCTGCCTTCAAGTGGCAGTGTGGTTTGCAGTGAGATTTGGGGGATTTTCCTGCACCACGAGGTGCTGTCTGTCTGTTCCCATGCTGTAAGCTTGGACTGTAGCATCAGTACTTGCACACCAAATCTTGGAGTGGTCTCAAACTGTGACAGAGCTGATTTGTGTCTGCAGAAACACACTTAGAAAAGGTGAAACATCAGTTTTTTTGTTGTTGTTGGTTTTTTTTTTTTTGGTCTGTTTCCTCTGAAGCAAAAGCAACAATGAGACTTGAAACTTGTGGGGAGGAAATAAAGACTGTGCTTTTTTCATGTGCGTGATAAGTAATTTCACAAACACAGAGAAACCACGTGTGGGTGCCTCTGCTGAGCATGCAGGAAAAGGCAGAGACATGGAATGTCTGTTCAGAGATCTGTCAGACCCTAGAAATGCAGACAGTTCTGGTGTCACCATTACAGTGACAGCAGAAATCAGAGGTTCAACAACCCCACAGCCATCATTGCAATTAAAAGTGATAAAAAGGAAAAATACAATGTCACAATGTACCAGCTTACAGTGAACGTACATCTCCAGCTTGCAGCACGTTGTTTGTTTTAGGGAGGATGCTGTCCCTAGAAAGCTATGTAAGCATTCTGTACCAAGCAGAATGTTTTTCCTAAAGCTGGTATCTCTGTCTGGCTTCAGTTCAGAAGAATATTTTAGCAGAGAATTCCCATATGCAGAAATGAACCTGTGGGATCTGAGCTGATAAATCTCATCAGTCAAAGAGAGCATAAAAGTTGCACAACTATGGAGATGAGAAGCAGATATGATATGAGAGGTCAAAAGGCAGTCAGAAAGGGCCGGATGGGGAAGAAGCAAGGTTCAACTTCACACTCACAGCTCTGTTTCTTTTTTTTATCCTGTGTTTATAAAGAACGCTCAGGAGGCAGCCTTTCCAGAAACCAGAACTGAGCTTTCTTTGGTTCTGTCACCGCCGATCTGGTCTGACCAGATTATCAGAGGATAAAACTGTTGTGGGCAATTCAACTGAACATAATTTGTGCAACTAAAACAAACCTACTCGGATGCAAGTATTTTATGTGGTTAGTACTGCTTGACCTATCGTTAAGCTTTATGCTTCAGAGCTCTTCTAGGAAATGCTGTCAGTCTTCTGCGGGGCTGCAAATCAGATAAGAAATCTCATCCTGCTCCGATTTCGTCAGGAAAAAGCAGAGAATGGCTCAGATTTGAAGGTAAAGGAGTAAAAAAGAGAGTAAGTAGCTCAGTGTGGGCTGATTCAGCCCTGCACTGCAGAGTCCCATGCTTGCTCTGCACTGTTGTGGGTCTGTCTGTGCAAGGCTGCCTACTGCATTTACCAGCCTAAGTGCACACTGAGGGGTGTGCCACTTCATGCACTGAGATGGGGGTTTCGCTTTGCAAGGCAATGGCAGCTTTGGATTTTCAAAGAGAGATTATCAGCAGAAGCTGAATGGCAGGAGAAGATTTGGAGCATTCCTGGCCATGTGAAGGGCAGGAGGAAAAAGGTGCAAGTCAGGTGTTGGTGCCCAGTGTGAGAAGTTAAGCAAAAAGGACAAGCTATGCCGGCTCACAGGGATGTTGACTTTACTGATACGCCTGCCAGAACCTTTAGCTCCGCCTGGCCGTTCTGCTCATGCCTGGCAGATGCGCGTGCGTATGGCGCAATAACCAGAAGGAAATGCTGCTCAGCTCCACTCTTTATGGGCCCGTGGCTACTGGGAAGGCATCCCTGACGTCCAGCAGCGGCGCTCCAGCTGGCCATTTGTATTTTATTTCTGAAGGTCTTACTGCGTGCTAGGATCCTATCCCACGTGGACGTAGGGTTCAAAGGGCTGTGGTGACACACAGGCAAGTAACTGACACCCGTCCATCACGGGAGGTGGCTGGGCAGCCCGCTGGCAGCACCGTGAGTAGGGGAGCCTGGGGAGGGAGCATGCGTGGGGCTCTGACACCTCTCCTGGGGTGCAGCCAAGCTGGGGAGGGAGGCAGAGGAAGTTGGGGATTTCACAGTTTGTGGGTTTTGCTTTCGGCTCTGCTGGAAGGACACCTGCTTGCTGTTAGTCAGGCCATAAACCATGGCTGTCTTCGTTAATACCTCCATTCTGAGAGTGGAGGCAATGTAGAAGGCGGTGTGAGGTTGCTTTTCATCTGTGCAGGCTATTGCTGTGCGGATGTGAAGGCAAATTTATGGGGTATCTGTTACACAAGAGCAGATAGCGACATCTTCAGCAAAAGGTGGAGGACACTGAATCCTGACAATGAAATATGTCTGTCTGCTATATTAAGAGCTTTACCTTCATTTCTTTCCCCTTGGGGTTAGCTGTTGAGTGGAAAAAAACTGTCCAGGAGCACAAGCGTTGGGAAGTGAAAGTGAAAGCAAGACTGAAGTGCACCCTTTTGGAGAGAGAGTGGGGTTAGAGCAGAGCAGGGGTTCCAGATCTATGCAGGGGTAGCAGAGGTCTGTGGAGTAGGGGGAGAGGGAACAGGGATGGGGGGAGCAGGGGGAAGAGCTGCTGGAAACTTCATCTGATTCTTCCCAGCCTCCTTGCCCATTTTCCTCTGTTCCTTCTCCACCCCCTCCAAATCCCACACTCTATCCAAGAACTCACAGTTCTGCCACGGCAGCAGCATACCGCTGCGCAGAGGGGAAAGAAGGGGTGAAGGCATCCAAAAAAAGCTCCCAGGAGTGTTGGATCTCATGAATGTCCTGCAATGGGGTTTGAAAGAAAATGAATTGGGAGCGTTTTTCTAGGAAAAGCCTGGCTAGTGTTACTCTGTATAAAGAGCACAGCAGTCTGAAGACAGCGGTGGAACAAGCTAAGGCTGGGAAGGGGACTTGTGTCCTTCCTTGCTCTTTGTTCTGGCAGGCCAAGGGGCTGCCAGGTCTTTGTTCATGGGCCTTTGTACTGCAACCAACCCTAGAAGGGAACTCCTTATTTGTTTTCCCCTGATTAGCCTGCTTTGAATAGCCCCGATCCCTGCCAAAGCATGAAGGATGTCAGAACCAGATGAATGATCTTTTCCCGTTTCTCCTTGCACAGCCTGTTGAAATTCCTTGGGCTACTGTGAGCATCTCCACCACAGACCCTTGCAAACTCCACAACAGGCAGGTGGGCAACTCTTGGCTGCATTTGTGAGCCCTGCAATGAGGTCATGATGCAAGGGTATAGAAAAATGGGCTGCAATCCAAAGCTGGGACGACTGAAGGAGGAGGAGGGAGAGTAGAAAGCAAAGGGAAATTTGTATTTGAATTGCTGGTGGCCACCTGTTCTGTCCTCAGAGGTGGCATATCTTAAGGTGGAGCACGGGACAGGCACTTTGAATTGACATGGGGAAATTCTAGGAAGAAATTATTCACTCAGAGGGTAGTGAAGCGCCAGTACAGACTGCCCAGAGAAATTGTGAATGTCCCACAGCAAGCTGTGGCTGGAATGGGGAAGCCCAGCCTCTCCTCACTGGGGCCCCTATCCTCACACAGCCCCTTTTCTTTCCTCATCAGTGAAGGAGGAGTGGTGCTGCTGGTGCTTTCTGAAGGCAGTGGGATTTCTGCTTAATAACTGTGTCTTGCTGCTGTTATCCAGGTGACACCACTGACCATCTAAGAAGCCAAGTTCATTGTGCCAGTTGTGTTTTCTCTGTTTTCTCCCAGTACACATTTTAGAGAAAAAATGGTGACCCAAGCCACAGAACCACAGAACTCAGGGTCATTCCTCTGACACGTGACATGTCAAATATAATGTAAAATATGTAAAATATATTACTATCAGTTCCTTGGTTCCATGCTTTCAAGCCCAAGATGTCTCCTCTTCTGAGATGTCATTAGACTTCTGAGATCACCAAGGATAGGTTGTATAGGTTGACAGCTTTGGGAAGACTGACTCTGGATTTCTCTTTCTGTGCTAGGGGTAAGGACGCAGCCAGGCTCTGACCAGTTCTCCTGTGCTTGTGGTGCCTTCAGACCCTTCTGTTCATCCTCAGAATGGCGTATGCCTGGTATTGGCTTGATGACTTGGGGCAGTGGATTGAATATGGGAAAAAGGTGAGATCCATGGTTTGATGTTGAAAGCTCCTGCTCAGCCATCTTTGGAGAATTGCTTAGGATATATTGTTTGGCAGCTGTTGTGTTTTACATGTCCTGCTGGTGCCACTGCAGTGCTGCTTTGATGCCCTGGTGGATTTGTCTTACTAAGTGTCCATCAAAGCAGTACTGAGTCTCTGTGAAAGCCTCCTAAGGACTGCCTTTGGAAATGGGTGTATTTTCCAATGATGATGCAGGCTGAAGCTGACCACACAGGGTAAACACTTTGGTTACTGTTGTACCAAGCGGTTGTTGTCTGTGAGGTACCTTCCCCAAAGAGCAAAATGCCAGAAGCCTTTGAGACCAGTTCCACACAGCATCTCATCACAGGAACCTGAGGAAACACTGGTATGTCTCCACAGTGCCACTTACACCGCAGGCTTATTTCTAACATGTATAATTTCCTTGTTCTGTCTGTAGCACCCGATTTACCCCCATGCCACGGTAAATTCTGCAGATCTGGAGGAGGCATTTCTAGCTGACCAGAGAGGCACTCTGACATTTTGGGCTGGTTCTCAGAAATATGAATTAAACTTCAAAGGTAAAGTATTTCTTTGCTTAATGTTCATTACACTGCGTAGCTGACTCTAAGGTAGCCTTTTTCATACAAAAAATTGTCAACCTGTGGGTATCTGGATTTCTTTGAACATGTCTTTTTCCTCTTCTCAGTTCTCTCCAAGAAGAGCTTGAACATTATGTACTTTTCTCTGTAGTTCTGAGGCACTCTGATCAAACTTCTAGACTTTTGCATCTGTAGTCAATGCTGTATATTGAGAACTGAAATAAAATACTTCATGGTATTTGACTTAGGCATTTGGGTTTATATAACTAAAGAGGAAACAAGAAAGGAAAAAAAAAAGATCAGAAAAGTCAAACGGTGAAGCAAGCTCTGGTAGACATCTTACAAGCTAATTATGAGAAAAGAAAACAGTACAGCAAAGGAAAATTATGGGCTAATTATAGAGAAAGAGAATGGAAAAATAAGAAATGCTTATCTGTTTCTAATTTATTTGTATTTTTTTTAACCATTTTAAGGTTTTTGTTAGCTTTTGAAAATTGAAATCTGTTTCCTGGCCTGAATAGAAAGTGTGACGTTTGAAGGAATAAACAATGGCTGGTTAGCAATGTCACACTGCGTGTGCTCTGTGATACTGTTACAGGATGAAAAAAAAAAAAAGACAGGCTTTCCTCTAGGCACCAAGTAACAATCCTGTACTGCCAGGAAAGTTATGCTTAGGGACTCCATCACATTGAAAACCCTTCCCTGCTGCAGGCCAGACATCAGATGTGGTTTTCTCTGGCTGGCAGCCTGAATTTGAGTACATCTGCAGGTGCAGTAGTTAGTTGCCTGTGAGCTTCACAGCCTACACTAGCAGGTTGTTGACCTTGGTGATCTCCAAGCAGAAGCTGCCCAAGTGGGAACAGTCTCAAACTATTAAGTAGGGAGTGGGGTGGATGTGGTAGCAAGAAGCCCTGCAGCATCCTGGGCTACTTGCTTTTAAAACTTTTCCTATGTGCATTCCCTGGGTAATAAATTGCATAGTAGTGAGTCATTGTGTTTTTCTTTCAAGACATGGTCCAAAGAAATGTGGTCTATGCAACTCAAAGAAAAGTTATGCGGCTGCCAAAAAATTTGTACTCTCAATGTGAGCTGAACAAAAGGTACTATACTTGCATTATTTAATAATGTAGAGATATTAGATGATGGCATTTTTCTACTAAGAAATTCCTCTTTTCTTTCTATAATTCAATTTTAGATTTCTTAAATTCATTTTTAGAAATGAAATTTGCTGACTGGTTTAACATTAATTTTTGCAGTGACATTATTTGTAAATTATGCAATACTTCTGTGAAGTGTGCTTGAGGGATGTTTGGTGGCAATCCTGGCAGCCATTGGAGACTGGAGACCTCTAGGGTAGATTTGTTCCTTCTGTGAGAGCAAGATCATATAGGGTTGACACAACTGTGCCAGGAATTTTTGTTCCTTGATTTATAGTCCAACAGTGCTAAACCATACACAGGGCAGGAACAGGGGAGTGCCAGTCCCAAGACTGTGGAGCAGATAGATGCCATTTCCTGGAAAGCTGAAATATTAAATAAAATAGAAGCAAATTCCTGTAAATGAAGTGTCCTGGATGCAATCATTTTTAGTTTGTATTTTCACAGAAGTTTGGTCTGACAGCATTTGGGCATGTTTGCTTTAAAAGTTAGTTGTGCTATTGCTTTATTTCAAAAAGAGCCATCTCGACTTTCAGAAACTTACTGGCAGGCAGTGCATAAGAAGCCAAGGGTTCAATTTAAGGGCTGGTTCAACCAAAGGTTGGCTGATTTAAAAATAAAGCAAATTGGAACTTCTGAGTCGATGGTAATGCCCCTATTGCCTGGGGCAAAACATTCATGCCATGTGGATGATTGAGGACTTGTGTTGGAAGTTATTAAGGACTAACTAATGCAGCATTACATGGGGACACTATTGCCCACCCATGTCCTCTGCCAGGCTGGTCCTGGGGACAGGGAAAGTGAGCTGCTTGTCTGGCCAGTGACTCTGAGATGAGTAGGCATCTGGAGGGAGAGGGCTCTCACCCCAGCTCACTAGAGATTCAAGCAGCTCTCATGGAGGTCTATTGGAGAGCAGTTGTATAAACTATGGTAATTCTTGTCTGAAGGTCTCCTACAAATGCCTGCCAAGAAATTCATTAACATCACTAGGATGTGTAGGGAAATTTAAACTGGAGAGAAAGGTAACTGGAAGGTTAAAAAGAAAAAAAAAAAAGAAAAAAAGAAAATCCAGAGATGCCTGAAAGTTGCTGTAGATCTAGGTGAAGTCTCGAGAGAGGGGATTTGGTGAGAGGAGTTGTGGATTGACTTGCTCTTTCTTCTTTTTCACAGCCTGTTTACAGAGCCATCACGTTCACTTTATCCTCCAGAATGGGACCAATCAGCACTGCCTGAAATTGGATACAAGGTATGAGTTTTCACATCTCCAGTGGAGTGGGTGAATTGTGTCTATTTATTGGTCTATGTTTCTTGGTCTATTTGAAGCAAATGTCATTTGTTGTGATAAAATTAGAGCTGGACTTGTAAGGAAGTATCTAGAAGGACCTCGGGTATCAAATTAAGGTGAAGCTGATATTCACTCTTCTCCACCTTAGATACTGCTGTGCATTTCAACTCTAGGTTACTTTGAAGTAGAAATAATCTAGACGCATAAGAAGTGTGTACACTGAGGGAACCTTGTGTTAGATTGCATTCATTTGCCTGTGCAGCAGCACCTCAGCACCTGCACTTCCAGCCTAGCAAGAGAGAGTGAATGTGAGGATAGAATATTTGATTGGAAAGACAGGAGAAACTAATGATTTTAATGGTAGGGTTTTCCTTTTAATGTGAGCGAGTTGATAAGTCCTTTGGAAGGACTGGGAGTTGTTACTATCAGAATTACCTTATTTCTGGTCTTTTTAAATTTTTCAGTTGGTAGATGTTGGCAACACTTCCAGTGAATATAGAAGAATTGAGAGTCTGTTTCAGAAGACGATGAAAGATTACAGCATCTGCCGGCTGCAGAGGATCCAGAACCCAACACTTTGGCAAATTTTTCAGTGGTTTGTTTCTATTTTGTTTCATTATTCCAATGGTAGCAGAGTGTGTGGGTGTTTCCTGATCTATTGTCCTTCACAGTCTGTGATAGGAGTTGCCAAAGGCAGTAGCCCAACAGAGGTTTGATTGCCACGTTTCTGTGTGCACAGATCCTACTGGTAGTGAGTTTCACAACAGGTGCATAAGCACAAACACGTGCATACACACAAAATGGGCTTTTATATATATATACATATAGTTGAACAAAAAATCAACACAGACAGCACAGCACTCATGAAATGATAAATAGTGCCAACAGCCTCATGCTGTTCTCTTCTCTGGCTAATCAGGATAAAAGCCTGTTGGTGGAAAATAGATACACACACACATTTGTACATGTCTCTTCAGGAGCTGGACTTATACACTCAGCCTACATATATGTTGGCCCTGGGATCCTCCCATCTCCAGCTGCATTCTGCACAGACACATACATGTACAAATGGATCTCTCAGTAGACCCCTATACTTCGTGCTGCATCAGGTAGTTTTCCTGAGCCTCATTGTTCCTCTGGTAATCAAGCTAGAAACTGTTCTCTCTAGCACCTGGCCCAGAGATATGACTCCTCTGATACCCATATCCCAGGTCACTTGCTCTCCTCACCAGCTGTCCAGCTTGACATTCACTAGCAATCATGCACTGACATGCATAAACTTCTTTGCTTTAATTGCTGTTACCCTGAGGCTCCAGTCCAATTGTGGCACTGAGATCCCTCATATGCACTCCAGCACACTGGCTGTAGAGTTCACCACCCAGCATATGAGCTAGAAATGAAGTCTGATGAAGAGGTAGGTCAGACTGCATGGATCAGGCACGGGGCATGGCTAGACAAGCCTACAGACCAGTCACCCGTCCATGCATGATAAGGGGCCTTCTTTATCTCCTTTTCTATCTGTCTTCCTATGTGTGTAATCCCCAAATCATATGCCCTTCCCCTGCATCCCATAATGAGTTCTATACTCCTAAAGGGAGTACCCGCCTCAGTCAACGAGCCATGCCCCAGAACCTTTCCATTGCTTGTGGTGCTAAGTGTCATCCCAGCCCCTAAGGGCCTCTTGGGAGGGACTGGGGCTTCTTGCTGTCTGAGCATGTTGTTGAGGATCCCTCACTTGTCACTGCCTCCACACTCCTATGTGTGTAAACCAGACTTTTACCACATAACCCAACAGGTTGTACAAGTGGATCTTGCTGATGTTATTTAAAAAGAAATTTATTTTCCTTCACTGTGACTGAGCTGTGGAATCTCAGATTTATTCTTCTGATGGGGTTTAAAAAAATATATTTTTGTTTATGTGATAAAGCTAGAGTTTACACAGTTTTTACTGTGGCTTCATGCTGTTCATTTCATAACCGTACTGATTCATTCAGGATTATACAACCTGGGAACTGGGAACAATTCCCTCTTGAATCATAGAATCATAGAATCACAAGATTGGAAAAGACCTATAAGATCATCTAGTCCAACCGTCTTCACACTGCCACTGCTACCACAAGCTACTAAACCATATCTCGCAGCTCCTCGTCCAGACGCCTCTTGAACACTGCCAGAGATGGCGACTCCACCACCTCCCTGTGCAGCCATTCCAGTGCCTGACCACTCTCTGAGAGAAAAAGTTCTTCCTTAAATCTAACCTAAACCTCTTCTGGTACAACTTGCAGCCATTTCCCCGGGTCCTGTTCGTTGCCTGGGAGAAGAG